TCTTGTCTGGGTTTCAGTTTTCAATTTGGGAGCTAGTCCTCCCCACTCTCAGATTTCTGTCTTTTCCAGGAGGATGGTCTCTACCAACTTCCCAAGAGTTTTGATGCTTGGAGGGATAATTGTGTGAATCCTTTTCTTGAGAGATCCTGCACTGGCTATATACTCTCTAAATATTCTCCAAGATCCTTAAACCCAGCTCAGAAAACATTCTTATTGCTTGTGTGGTGGAGAAATGGTTTATACATCATCATATGTTTTTCCTCCTTATGTTTTATGTTATAGACTCTATGCACTCAGTGCTCTAGGATTTGCCTTTGAAGAGCTAATTTTTTTCCTCTTTTTTAAAACCATTGTATCTTCCCCTCTCAAGAGACTATTTTGAAATTCAAAGTGAAGAATTTGACTTGCTGAATTCAGCTCTTGCTAGGTTCTTCAGTACTTTTCTCTCTCTAGGATAAAAGCCTTAGCCTAAAGATCTAATTTTAATGGTGGAAATGTTGTAGGGCAAAAAAGAAATGCCAAGAAATAAGAATACATCTGTCAATATTTTAAAATATTTTACAGCTACTTATATGATATGAACTGAATGACTTAGGTGGTCTAGTAAAAAATTTTCCTCTTTGGGGAGGAATTGGAAAGAATCTAGGCACATGTCTAAAGATATTAACTTTAAATGGTTTTCGAAATTTACCATAGGAGGCAGATTTTTCTCTCCCTCTTGGCTTTGAAAATATTCCTTATGTCACCCTCTTCTTTTTCATGATCCTCCATAACCTGGGAGGGTTAGCTGGCAAAATTCCATACAGTAAGCAAGCCTTACTGCCAGTTAAGAGCCTCATACTATCTCCTTGGGGAAAGACAAAACGCTGTGGCTAAAAATGTCAAGTCTGGGATCTTAAAGTTCTACCAGAGAAACTGTGGGGAATGTTAGTCTCTTGGTGGGGAATAGGTTGGGTCACTGGAATGTCTTTTTCCCAGCTTGTTAATGTCTATGATTCAAGGAAAACAAACCTTAAAAAGAACGCAGAAAGTACAATTTTTAGAGAACAGAGGTGAACACTAGTTACTTTAATATTTTGAAAAACATTTTTATGAATTTTTCATAAACACTGCAACTGATGACATAATCATCATATTCAAAAGAATCAATGCTTATATTATCATGGATTTAAGTCCCTAATTGGGAAGAGGCCAAAATTCCCAGATTTCCCAGATTTCAGTTCATGATAGGAAACTTGTATTTCTTTCAAAATATTCACAGAATGCTCATGACAAATGCAGTGCAAATGGAAATGTTTTATTCCCAACATGGGCAGTTGAAATGAAACTCCTTTATTTGAGTATCAGCACACCAGTATACACTCCACTGAAAAAGGATTCTTGACTAACTGACATATGTATGTATTATGTTAAACATCTGTAAGAATGTGTATGTATATGCATGTGTATCTAAAACTTTATATATACACACAATTTTTCAACATTGAAAGGTATTTTTACCCACTAGAAAGAGTTTGATATTTCAATCTCTCGAATGATAATTTTACATCATGGACTAGTGTTTAAGAGTGTGGGTGCTGGACTTTGATTGTCCAGCTAAAATCATTAATTAGTTGTGTGACCTTGGGCAAGGTACTGAACATTTTTGTATAGCAATAACCTCATCTCTAAGATGGCAGCCATAACATCTGCCCCATGAAGTGGTTGTGGGGATTAAGTAAATTAGAACATGGCACTGTATAAAGTACAAAATAAATGTGAACTTTCAGTAATATTACTGGTATATGCAAGGCCCGTGCTAGCTGCTTTGGGGGATAAAAGAAACAGTCCTTACTCTTATATGGCTTACTATCTAGTGGGGAACTCAAGCTATGGTCTTATATAAAGTTAAATATTCATACCTGAGAAGAAAATCAACTGTTCAGTTCAGCTGCATGGACCAACCTCTTAAATATAGAAGCCATAAGGGCTGGTGACCTGGACCAGAGGAATATCTTTATAGAAAATGTTAGTCTTAGTCTCACATTTGTTTCCCTTCACCTGATGTTTATCTCTCTGACATGATGAAAACAGGCTCAAGGCACATTGTATAATATGCACCGTTTGCAGTGGCCCCGTCTCCGTCAATCTTGCAGTGGTTTAACAGTGGGCCGGTCAAGCAGTCCATGACGCAGCTGCAGATGCTGGATTAAGGCTCTTGACAACAGAGGCTGGTTGAGCTGAGAGTGCTCTGAGAAGCGGGCCAGCCCACCAATTTCTGTTTGCAGAGGAACAGTGACTGCTTCAGCGGATTTTTAAGGTTTTGTTTTTTTTTTTTTTCCCTGAGATTTACAGACAATTCCAGACTGTGGTTATCCAGTTTAAGAGGTCATTCTGTACAAGGACAGGCATGAAACTGCATGTCTAACTGCCAGATAAATATTACAGTTAACAACTTCTCTGTGAGATCAAAGATAGGACTGCTCCCTGTCGTCTGGGACGTTCATGGAAGGCCTTGGGAAGAAGTGGTTATGAAAAGGCCTTCAACAAAAATTTAAGGTAATCTTTGGATTAATCCCTTTTCAATCAAATATTAATTCCCCTAATTTAATTTTTTATAAAGAGGAATGCATTTATTTATTTATTTATTTTTAATTTTAAGTAGGTCCCAAGCCCAATGTGGGGCCTGAGATCAAAAGTCATATGTTCTACCAACTGAGCCAACAAGGCACACCATCCCCTAACTTAATTTTTTAAATTTATCACTCTAGGTTTTCCCCTACATCCTGTCCCTGACTGGTGCTCATTTCAAAAGATAATTCTGTGTCTAAGTTATGAGTTTAACAAGTTTTCATATGTTGATCTGAGTATATAACCTTCACCTATAAAATTGCTTCTGTGGGGAAAACAGGTATTCTGAATTTCAGACAATCAATTTACAAACCCATTTTTTAAAACCCTACTTTGTTGCTTCTTTCACTCAGCAATTAAGGAGGAGTGCTTTTCATGAGTATCAGACACTGGTTGGCCCATATGAACAAAAGATACCTACTCTCATGGAGTTGACATTCTGGAGAGGAGATCCAGTTAAACAATACACAGAATTAAGAATTGGGATAGTGTGTTGGAAGGCAGTAATTGCTAAGGGATAAAGAAAAAGTAGCACAAGGTAAGAGGGATGGGATGGGTGGCAATTTTAAATAGGATGGTCACTGTGAGGATTACACTTAAGCAAAGTGTGAAGGGAGCCGCCAAGATGACCAACCCCAAGTGGGGCTAGAGTATTTAAGGCAGAAGGAAGAGCCAGTGCAAAGGCCCTGAAGCAGGAGCTTACCTAGTGAGTCTGAAGAATAGCTAAGAGACCAGTATAGTTGGAAGAGGATGGGAGAGACTAGATGATGAGGTCAGAGAGGTAAGTGGCAGGGAACTTGCTAGATCATAGAGAGCCTCCCAGGACTGTAGAAGTTTTGAGAAAGTCAGTGGTCACTTGCATTGGGCGGGCTTAAAGCAAGGCCTGGATGTATCAAAATAATTTCTCTTTTCCCCAGTGTCCTATACTTCAACTTTAATGTAGATACAAATAAACTGAGATCTTGAGAAAATTCAAATTCTGGTTTGGTAGGTCTGGGGCAGGGCCTGAAATTCGCCATTTTTAACAAGGTTCCAGGTGATGCCAGGCTACTGGTCTATAGCCACACACTGACAAGTAAGAGTAAAGAGGTGTTGAGTTCCCAGGGGCTCTGGAACTTACCTCTCCATTAGCTGGGTACGAGGGCTTTCTTGTTCCTCGTGAGCCTGAAAGGAAAACCTTAAAAGGTTTTTGTTCACTTTCCTCTTGGTCATGGTCTCACCACTGGTCTCACCATTTCAAGGTCCTATCACTTGGCTAGTAAGAGCATGGTCTAGAACTCCCTCCAGGAACAAGAGATAGGTTTTCTGGCTGTTTCCATGCAGGATCTAAGAAGTTTCTAGGGCCTCCTCACTGCCACTATGGAGGCTCTGACCCCATTCGTATCTTACTCCAATTACAGAAGTTCTGACTTGTGGCCTTCACTCCTGGTCCTGTATACTTTGAGTGAAAGACCAGCCCTGTAAACTAGGCTTGAGGCAGCTTAGAGGATGTGGGTTATGCTCCTAGGTAGAAGAGAGAATACCCTGCAAGGCTGGCCTTCTGCAGAGCAGGCCTGGGAGGACTAGCTACTTGTGAATATAAAGCAAGGTCAAGAGCCAGATAGCCAGATGGGTTTGAACTGTGCTTCTATCCCTTACTGTGTAATATCAGGAATACTCCTTGGGATCCTGGAGCCACAGTTCTCTCATCCGGAAAGTGCGAACACCACCACCACTTCCCTCATTTATCGAGAAGTTGCGTATACAGCATGGAGTCAGGTACCTGGTTCATACTGATGCTCACAAAATACTGGTTTTTATTTTTATAATCACTGGTAATATCCCACCACCTATCAAATCGCTTTGTGGCGTGGCCCGACGGTACCCACCTCTACATTCTCTGGAGCTCAGGCACTGTGGCAAACCCCTCAGCAAAGGCTTTCGAAGAGAAAACAGAGGGGCCAACGCCAGTTTCCTCGTGGCAAATGTCACTAGAGGTAATCAAGGAACGGAAGATGTTTAGTTTAGAAAGGAGATGATGGGGAGGGGGATAGGGATGGACGTGATGCCTGTCGTCATATTGTCTTGTGTGAGAGTGATCAGACGTCCTCTAGGAGACCCAGCCGGCACGCTGCGACCCACCGGAAGCAACGAAAGGAAAGCACACCCCCCCTCCAACAGACAAAGCGAGGCAGGGTGCGACGGAGAAGGGGGTGTCTGGGAGGGTCGGCTCCTGCGCAGCTGCGGCCGCGGAGCCAATCGCCGCGCGCAGTCCGTCCTCGCGCGACGGTACAGTCGTACAGCCGTGACGTCGACGGTTGCCATGGAGAGGCCCGCTCGCTGGGGACCGCGAGCTGGCGCCAGGGGCGGCGGGGTGGGAGCGTGGCTTTGAAGCCGCTTCCGCTACCACCATGAGCGGCCGAAGTCGGGGTAGAAAGTCTTCCCGCGCCAAAAGCCGGGGCAAAGGCCGCGGCAAGGCCCGAGTCCGCGCTGCTCCTGCCGACGCCTCCCGCGACCCGGACCCGCCACAGTGCCAGAGGCTCGGGGAGGAAACCCAGGCGGCACAGGTGCAGGCTGGCGCGGGTTGGGGTGGCCTGGAAACCGCTGCGCCCGCGCCGTGCCGTCGGCCCGGGGAGGACGCTGCCTGCCGGCTCCCCCTGGACTGTGGCCTCGCGCTCCGGGCCCGAGCTGCGGGGGATCGCGGGCAGGCCGCGACTAGGTCCGGCCCAGAGAAGGCCACATCCCTCTCGGAGCGCCTAGCAACAGACACTGTCTTCGTGGGAACCGTGGGAACCGTGGGAAGGCCTAAAAATGGCCCCCGCGTTGGAAATCGGCGTGGCCCTGCTGGGAAGAAGGCCCCAGAAACCTGTAGCACGGCGGGGAGGGGGCCTCAGGCCATAGCCGGTGGGAAGCTGAAGAAGGGGGCCACAGGCGAGAATGTCTCCGTCCCTGTGGTAGAGGAAAAGAAGGTGGAGAAGGATGCAGGGTCAGGGCCCCTGGCGACAGATGGCAGCATGGATACGCTGGAGACCGTCCAGCTGAAGCTGGAGACCATGAACGCCCAGGCAGACAGGGCCTACCTTCGGCTCTCGCGGAAGTTTGGGCAGTTGCGACTGCATCACTTAGAGCGCAGGAACCTCCTCATCCAGAATATCCCGGGCTTCTGGGGGCAAGCTTTTCAGAACCACCCCCAGCTATCATCCTTTCTGAACAACCAAGACAAAGAGGTTCTCAGCTACCTGAACAGCTTGGAAGTGGAAGAGCTTGGCCTTGCCAGACTGGGCTACAAAATCAAGTTCTACTTTGGGCGCAACCCCTATTTCCAAAATAAGGTGCTCATCAAGGAATATGGGTGTGGGCCTTCGGGTCAGGTGGTGTCTCGTTCTACTCCAATCCAGTGGCTCCCAGGGCATGATCTCCAGTCCTTAAGCCAGGGGAACCCCGACAACAGCCGTAGCTTCTTTGGGTGGTTTTCAAACCACAGCTCCATTGAGTCTGACAAGATTGTGGAGATAATCAACGAAGAACTGTGGCCCAATCCCCTGCAGTACTACCTTATGAGTGAAGGGGCCCGTGTGGAGAAAGGAAAGGAAGGCAGGCAAGGTCCAGCAAGGCAGCCAGTGGAGACCCCAGAGCCTGGGGCAAACAAGTCCAACTGATCCCGCACTGGCCTCCCTACTACCTCCCATTGGACCTGTGCCTAGCTAACCACACGTGTTTGGCTGTCTGCCTTCTCTTCATATTGGCCTCTGCACTGTATTCCCTTTGGACTTCAGTTACAAGAATATGGTATCTATGATCATGTTCTTTAGCCTCCTCGTGGCCTTCTTGCTTTTCACATTAGTGTTACATGTTAAATGATCTCAACCCTACTGTTTATATGTTCAGCGCACATGCTTCAAGTGTGTGCTGCCTTTGTCTATATTGCCTGGACCATGATCTTGGCTCTGGCCCTTCCTAGCTGTCTTTAACATGGACACATGAGTCATCCTCCAAGAGGACCAGTGCATCCTCAAGCTCTGCTACTTCAAGGCCAGTGACTTGCTGAGCTTTGTGTTCATGCTGGCCCTGCGTGCCATCTAGGGCAAGTTTTTCTGTTGCCATTGCAGAATGAAGCTAGCGCACATGGTATTGGCCATCAGCCAAAACTAATTGTTCCAAAGCCCTGGGGCCACCAGCCTAGTTGCCATCACCTGCTGGATCTCTGACTTTGGCCAGGCGCCTCTGCGGCCCTGCTGGATATGCAGAATAGCACTTGACTGTTAGGCATGGATGAGGTTAAGGGTGAGAAGCACTTTGCCACGTGTTCTATACCATCATGTGTCTCTTCCTGCCTCTGGGCCCTTCTACTGTTGAACATTCATCAAGGTCTATACCGTGCCCCGTCCTGTCAGGCCACTGAGACTTTTCTACATTGCTATTGGCCCCAGTTGACCTCCGGGTCAGCGAGGACCTCAAGAACTGCCTGTGGGCCCTGGCCCCCTGCCAGTGCATGAGACACACACCTTCCAGGAACCCTGCTGCCTACCAGACCGATGGGCGGGTATGTGGACGTGTGCTCACTGTCATCATTCCGTGGCTCCAGGTGAGGGTTGGGAATGGACCCACATGGAACCTAGGTACCTTTGTCAACTCCACTTATCCCTTCCTAGCACAGGACCAGAGTGCTATAGCGGAGTTGCTGGGGAAGTGGTATTTCTTACCTGTGGGCCTGTGTCTGCTTCATCTTAACACCTCTATACCTTACTTGCCCTTCCTTCATTCCCTCTCTTCCTTCTTTCCTCCCTTCCTTTCCTGTCCTTTTTTCCTCCACTTCTCCCTCCCTTTTTTGCTGCAATATTACCACAGCTCAGAAAGAGAAAACAACTGAGAAACCGGGGTTTTCTGCATACAGCTAGAGAGACAGGTGGGACTTGCTGTGCACACTCACGCACTGGGAAAACAGAGGGTAGAGGAAGCCAGAAGGCCGAATTGGTCTGTGGTCAGACCTTGGCTCTGACTCCTGGGTTCACTGTATAATTTTCATGTTGAAAATTCTTTTCATGGCTACACACGTGTTAGAATTATAAGCCCTAAGGCAGCAGTGTTGTGGACTAGTGTTTACTCCTATTCCAACTTTTTTTTTTTTTTTTTTTTTGGTGCCCCTTAAGACCCAGTTAGCTCATACTGTTTCCTCCTCTGTGGTAGCCTCTGGCCGTCTGGCCCTCATTCCCCAGCTTTCTACTCTCAGCAGTCCTTTGCTCTCTTTATTTCTACCTTTAAATACCCTTAGGATAGGCTTCCATCTCAGGCCATGGGGACAGGGTGGGCAGAATCCATTCTGGATCTCCAGGGCTCATTTCCAGTGAGTATAAAAGCTGAGCTGGGCCCTCTTTCTCCTCTGCATCCCTAAGGGTGGAGGGGTAGGACTGTAACTACACATTCCCTCCCCCAATCTCCTTTTCCTTATGGGAGACCTTGTTCTGAGTTCTGCAAGGGCTGGGGAGGCCTTGACTCAAATTTGTAGAGAGGGATTGCCAGGTGGGGGACTTGGAGCAAAAACATAGGGCAGGAATGAGCCTGGTGTGGAAGGGCCTGGAGATGCAGGTAGAAATGGCTTGGAAAGCCTCAGGGAAAGTATACCTCTCTCTCAGTGAGGGCAAGGACAGGAAGGGACATTCCCCAGAGTGAGGAGGGGAGAATTAAGGGGTCATGGGCCAATACAGTGCCTGGGTGAGGGTTGCCCACGGTCTTGTCCAATCATTAGTTCATCATTAGTGGATTTTATAAATCACAGAAACAAATCCAAAGCAGAATAATGTTACTTTGGATGCTTTCTCTTTTGTTCTAGGTGTGGCCTTGCGTATGTGGAAGATTGATGCTATATGCTGCTTATTTTGCCATAAGTAAAATCTTACCACTTCCCCCATTTTTGCCTAATGGGACAATGTAGCTGTATAGGTCTGCTTTTTTCTTTCTTTCTTTCTTTCTTTCTTTTTTTTTTTTTTTAAACTTTTTGCTCTTTATTATGGACATTTCAGACAAGCACAGAAATGGAGAAGATGGTACCTGGACCCTGTGTACCCATCACCTATCTACATCAATTATGATCAACCTGGTATCTTCCTCTCCCCACCTGTATTGTTGATGGAAAATCCGACACTGTGCCAATTCAACCTTGACTACTTTGGGAGATCAGGACTCTCTTTTGGTGGTGATAGTGGTGGGCGGCACTATCATGATCACATCAGGTCTGCTTTTTGCTTTTTGCTCTGAATGTTAACTAATGAAGTTCCAGAAATGGGCCTTAGAAGTGAAAGTCTTCAGGATAAATAGGGAGTCTCAAAAAGAGATGAAAAGATGCTCCTGTTCCCCTGTGTTCACGAAAGGAGAGAGAGAGAGACTGTTTTGTTGTAAATCTTTCAAAGACTGATAGAATAAGGTGCTTACCTGAGACCCTTCACCAGAATATCAGTCTTTTTTGCCTGAGAAAGATGGAGGCGTGTGTGACTGTTAGAAATATCATCAGCTTGTCCTGGTTTCATAATATAACTGGTCTTGGAAGTATAATTTGGAAATTGTTTCTGTGTTCTGTGAAAATAACCTCCCAAAAGCAACCAGTTACTGGTTGTCTTGGTAATTTGACACCCTGGTAATAATGCAATTATTCCTTTGTTCCCAAACAGTATAAATAGTTGTAAGCTTGCATGCATTATGGAAAAATAAAAGCCTGTATCTCTGTTATATTTTTTATTTTAAAAAAAGAATTGGAAGGTGGAGCTGAGGCTGCGTAGTTGAGGGGATGTATACGTTGGCCTCAAAGAGTGATTCCTAGGTCTCAGGCCCTGGTTTGACTAGCTACAGAACAATGATTCTCATGCCCTTAGCAGAAATTGAGACTCTGTGGTTCGTTCTGGGAGGAAGCCAGGTCATTCTCGTTTTTAACGAGTTTTCCAGGTGATTTTAGTGGAAATCCAGTGTTTCTCAAATTTTGAATTTTGAATTGTGTGAGGAATCCTGTGAAACTATGAATTCCAATTCAGTAGGCCAGGGTGGAACCCGAGATTCTACATTTCTAACAAAATTTCAGGTGATGCCAGTGCTGGTGGTTTGTGAACTGTACTTCGAGTAGCAGAGCAAGTGACGTTCAAGTCCCATTCAGACTAGAGTAACAGTGCTCTGGTTGCACTTGAGAACGATCCGAGAAACTTAAATATACAGCCGGAGCTCTGCCTAAATCGGAATGTGGGAAGGGGTTGGTTCAGGTCTAGGTGTTTTAGAAACATCCCACGTGATTCTGTTGTCTAGCCAGGGTTGAGAATTAGGGTCTCTGATGCTGTTCATAATGCATCTATAAGAAGGCTAATTCTCTTCATCAAGGGAAGCAGCCACAGACAACAAAGGGCCACGAAAAGCTGCCCAGCAGAAAACAGTTGGAAAAAATTAGAAGTGGGTTGTTAAATGCCCCCTCGCATTGGTTTTTGTGATAAAGGGCATGATTCAATAAATGTGCAGTGTTCAGAGCATAGTAGGTGTTCAAATATTAAACAAATGTATGAGTTTAAAACACAGTTTATAGTCAAATGCCTCAGGGCTAGTCTGGTAATTAAATTTGCAAAAAAGCAGGCCAGATTTGTTTCATGAGGGTATATGTATGTATTAGTTTGTTAGGGCTGCCGTACCGAAGGAACCCCGATAGGGTGGCTTAAATAACAGAAATTGACTTGCTCCGTTTTGGAGTCTAGAAATGTCGGATCAAGTTGTGAGCAGGGTTAGTTTCCTCTGAAGGCCTCTCTCCCGGCTTGTAGGTGGTCCTCTTCTCTCTGTCTACACGCGGCCTTCCCTCTGTGTGAGCCTGGGAGCAGTTGGCGGAGGTGGAGATGGTGTGTGGCTGTTCTGCAGAGCTAGATTGTTTACCTGGGGACACAGGCCTAGTGCAGCTGCATCTTTGAAGGGCAGTGGGAGGAATCAAGATTTTTATGCAGAATCTCCCAATTTTGAATGCTTTCAACTAAAAAACAAATTTTTTTAAACACCCATTAGTGATATGTGGAGTGCGAAAGGGTATGGAGAGCAGCCTCTATCTGATGCTCAAGCATCTTGGGATTCATGCAGAGGCCTCTGGGGTTATGCGTTGGAAGGGACTGTCTGCCCAATTCAGCTCACACACTCGCATCTTCAGAGGTGCGAAGCCTTCACTCCCCGGCCCCCCTTTCATGCCCCTCTCTTTGGTTCTTTGGAGATCTTTTCTGATCTGGGGTTCACTACCTCCCCATGGGCTCATTCATTCATTGCCTCCTGTATGTGCCATTCTCGGTTGTAGACATGAGAAACATAGCTATGAACAAATAGAACTTTGAATTCTGCCCCCCTTCTGGGTTTCAATCTCTCAGATTTTGCCTGGGATTGTCAGTCCATCTCCTTTTTCCCTTTTCCTCCATAGGGCTGCCGAGTGTTTTAGGTCCATATGGGAGCTAAAGGAAGCCTCTTGCTATCTGACTTCTAAGAATTCACAGGGCAGTTAGGTTTTTAATAACCCGGAAAGTGAGGGCATTTTGCAGTAATTCTTGTTAGACTGAATCCCTCACCCTTTCCTCAACTTTGAGTTTTATTACAAAAGGCCGCTTTCTGGTTTCTAAACTTGTTACTAGGTGGGCTTTTTTGGAAGTATGAGGAGTTTGATTATGCCATGGGTGAGGGAGGAGACAAAACTAGCCTTACTACTCATAGCTTATGGCAAGTTTTTATCAGCTTCAGACTGTCTCTCCTTACACTTTGGGCTTCCTGCCTCTGGTCTATACCAGTTTGCAACAAGGCAGGGGGGCACGCTGATCTGGGGTGGCCTCATCTAGGGAGGAAACTTTGCCCTCATTTGTCCCTTTGAAAATTGTGGAAACTCCTCCTGCCCTCTCACTCCTTGAGATCTGGGCCTTGGTGAACCACTGTTACTGATGGGTGGCTCATACCCCTCAGGGGTTGGGGCAGCAAAAAAAAACAAAAATAAAAACAAACAAACAAAAGAGAGAATCCAGGCTATTAAGTCTATGGTTTTTATCTCTCTTTGTCCTTAGCATCTTCATTTCTGCTTTTGGAATTTCTGCAGCCATATTTCACCATTCGGGGTCCCAACTCACTTCTGTTGATTCATTTTCACCCGAAACTCTGACTTCATGCTTGTGGACCCCAGATCCGCATTCTCTGGTCGGGTCTTCGGTTACATACTCTACAAGGCTCCAACCTTGAATTCCTTCTCTCCCTGCCTCCTGTCAACCTGGTTCTCAGCTGAGCCTTGAGAAATATGACAAAATAGCCCTGATCTGTGTGACACTTGACGGTTCACAAAGCACAGTCTCTTACATTATCTCAATTGTAACAACTATCTGATAAGATGGCTAAGAAAGGTTAAATGACTTGACCAAAACCACAGAAGTAGTAGTAAGCAGTAGAGCCAGAACCCAAACTCAGGTCTGCCAAATCCAGACTTCATCCATACTTCGAATGGTAAACAGGAGGCCCAAGCAGATAGATACCTGGTACTATGAATCCAGGCACTTCTTACCACAGAACCTGTAATTAAGCCTTTGCATAGTGCATCAGAACCCTCAGCGCAGCACTCTGGTCAGTCCCAGCCAGTTGCAGTTGGCATGTGGGTGTGAACCTTCTTGACCATCCAAACGAGAGCCTGCCCGCAGAGCTCAGTTAGCAGCAGGGCTGGCTAAGGTTGGGTGACTCAACAGCAGCTGAGGCTTCCTTTAACTGCTTTGTTCTAAGGTTAGGCTCGGCTTAAAGTTTCAATACCTGAAGATGAATGATTTGAAAAAAAGGAGATAATTTTTCTTCCATAACAAGAAGTCTGGTGATGGGAAGTTACAGGCTTGCTTCAATGGTTCCATGATACGAGGGCTCTGGTCCACTCCGGCGCTTCCTCTTCTCTTGGCTTTCTCCTCATGATTCCCCAGCCTCACTTAAAGGCGGGCAGGAAGGAGGAGAGGGAGATCTTCTCACATGTCTCTGTCCTTTTCAGGGATGAAAATCTTTGCCAATAGTCCCTGCTGGATCTCAGGAGACATGAGTTAGGTTCCTTGGGCCAGAAATGGGTCACACTCTCATACTCTATTTCAGGGAAGCATAGTCCTGCCATCAGGGAATAAGGAGAGCTCAAGTGGTTGGAACGGATGGGAGATGTTAGTCATCTGTAGGTTCATCCTTTCTGGAGCTGTGTGGCTATGCGGCTGACACGCACATCACGTAATAGTTGGAAGCACCATGTATGCACGCTGTCCCTGCCCCAGCTCCCCTGGGCACCTCTTCTGACAAGAAGGCTCTACCAGTGCTTGGTGTTCCATGTATCATCTCCTCCATTACACGGTAAGTGCTCCTCCCGCCTCGCAATGCCTTTCTGGTTTTCCTGTCTCCCATAGCACCTCACTTAGGGTTCACTCAACATCTGATGCCTGTGGTCGATAAATGCTACTGGGGCAAATGCAGTAAGTCAGTAATCTTTCTAAAATGTAAATTTGATTATGTCAGTCACCTGTTCAAAACCTTCAGGAGTAAGGTCTGAAATCCTAAGAAGAATATTTTCTACTTCAAACTTTTTTATTATGAAAAATTTCAATATACATAAAAGTTGACAAACCACAATGATTACCCGTATACTTTTTAAGTTCAGTGATTTTTAACCTTGTGCCATATTTTTTGTCTCTCTCTCTATATATATATGTATGTTTTGGTGAACAATTTGAAAATATGTTGCTTGACCCTTCACCCCTAAATATTCAGCATCCATCTCATAAAAAAGGATTTTCTCCTGCGTAAACCTAAGACTATTATCACACTGCAGAACACAGTTCCTAAATGCCACCTAGTATCCAGTCCATATTTACATTTCTCCACTGTTCCCAAGATTATCTTACAGTATGAGATTTAAAATCAAGATTGAATAATGTTCAGGCATTTTTCTAGTGATCTCTTCAATCTTTTTCGAACAAAATCCCCTCACTTTTGTCCCCCTCATAACATCAACTTTCTGAAGAAGTTGGGTCAGTTGTCCTATAGGATATCCCCAATTCCAGATTTTTCTGATTGTATCTTCCTGGTGTCAGTTAACTTTTTCCTCTGTCTCCTGTATTTCTTGTAAGCCGAGGATGCAGATGGAATGCCTTTGGCAAGAGTACATAGATGATGCAGGTACTTCACAGTGCATCACTCTGGAAGGCGAAGTGACAGCTGGTCCCACTGTCATGCTGTTTGTTTGCTCTCTTGGTTAAGATGGTGATCACCATATTTCTCTCTCCCAATTTAGCAGGAAATCTCTGAAATTACTGTAAGGATACTGTTCCCTTAAACTTTCATCCCAAGGTTTTAGCAGCCATTGATGACATTTGCCCAAACCCGTTATTTCACTATGGGTTATGAAGTAGTGACTTTCTAATCTTGGCATTTCCTTTACATGTGTTATTTTGTATTTTTCTGTAAGGAAGACTTTATTCTCATCATCTAGCAATGAACTCTACTTCCTTCTGAAAGGCAGTGTAAATGCTTCGTTTATTCCTTTTATTATCTATTTTCAGAATCAGAAGTTGGTGTAAAATTGTCTCTAATGGTTTCAAATAAGGGCATGTTTTTCTTTTCTCTTTACTTTCACTGTGGACTTCTGGGGTTTTATTTATTTAATGTTTTATGATCAATGACAGCCATTTTTGCTTTTGGATACTCAACTGACCTGCATTTTGCCACTAACTTT